ATTCAAGTTTTGTGCAAAAACGCATGATCGCTCCAGCTCGCCTGGTGCGTTCCAGCCTACGTTTATGTGTTTTTGCCTATATGCAAATTGCAAAAACGCATGTTATCAAAAGGCTCTCTGTGTGTTTGTCTGCGTGGGCGTCTGTACCGACTTTTTACCTCTAGACCTACAAAACCTACAGGACTGTAACTTTTTGAACTTAATCTGCATGCATGAACGGGCCCCCATTCCCAAAATGAGCGTACTTACCCACGTAGTTACCACGTGCGGGCCCGTCAAAGTTTTTCGCGGGTAAGCTGCTAACTCGGAAAACTGAAAATCTGAAAACTTAGAATTTTCGAGGGGATTTTTTTTGACAGTCCTGGTGATAAGACTCAATTCTTTTAGCTAGAAGCATCTGCCGGAGAAAACAGTGCCGCTAGCGACAAAAAGCTGCGGGGAATTATGCAAAAAACGCAACTTCGCATCGGCAGTCGGTGTGCTCTCCAAATATTAACATTTTGAAATGGAGAAAGAAGAGTGCAACAGTTACAGTACTTAATATGTATAATACTTATATGTGTCTAGGGATTTGCCGAAGGTGTAAATAGTCCTGTTGTATTGTCTTTTTCGAACGCACTGTAAATTAGGGCAATAATTTCATACCGTGTTGTGATACTATGCTGCGGCCTTTTCTTCAGAATCATTGTAAATTAGTTCATTAATCCTGTATTGCATGCTTGTTTTTATTAATCACAACTTGTCCGATGAAAATACGTAGCATATTGCATACTGCTGATTAAACTCAAATTTTTGAATCAAATTTCTGTGCATAAGCATAAACACAGGAATTTGAGTGTAGTCAGGAATTTGAGTCGAGTTTTACAACTCTCCTGTTTAGGCAGGAAATTCAAAGTTTTCGTTGAATAGATCAGGAAGAACTTACCAACGAGAGCCAGGATGACGGTAAGCAGTGGTGCGGCTGGAAAAACGAGCATCTGATTGAGCTCAAACATTTGCAATAAATCAACGATGAACAAGAATATCTGATGGTGCGAAAAACGAAGCAACATCGATATAGCAAACGTCTGCAAATTATAAATCCAGCAGAGGAAATTGGAAATTCATATTCATTCTCAAAAAGCAAAGTATAGCCATAGGTTTCAGGAAAAGAACGAAGGAAGAAGAAAGTCGACTAATAAAAAACAAACAGCAGTCCCTAACTCGGGATCATGAAATGATGCCCGAATATATGTATTATTCAGCAGCGATAACAATCTGACGAAAAAGAGAGAGGACCAGACTATGAATTAGTTCTCACTCAAGAATAAGCAGCATCTCGATAAAGTGTCCTTTTGTCAACATGGGACCTCACTATAGTCTAGGAATGTCAGTGTTCGGAACGAAGTTCTGATGCTTAATACACACCAGAGACATCAGGGAACTGCTAGGGCTTTGACAATGCTTTCTTTCGAGGAATGTCTGAGCTGATAAATCCTTTCAAAAGAGAAAAGGAGCGACTAAAGCAACTACAGAAGTTGCCAGCTGCACCTACAGATGAATCGAGTATTCCAATTAAAACACATTCATAAATTTCTTTTTTTATTTGTTTGTAGAACGCACGCACGAAACTGCTGGTTTCACAGGATGGAACTTCCAAATCAAAGGAACTTTCACAGGATGGAACTTCCAAATCAACTTCCAAGCCCTAGTCAAAGCTGTATGCTAAAGTAAGAAAGTGACGAAACAGAAAGAATGTACTCAATATTCTTCACAATTTTGTTGCTCCCACGGTTACAATTTTTAGTACAAAAATACTGCTAATTCCA